ATGGCCAATTTCCTTAGCTAGAATTTGCAGTGCTCGGTTTATTAGAGCTGTTTCTGAACTAGAACTTTTAGGATTTATAAAACCTACCAAACAGAAGACTGACCATGTAGCAAGGCTAACATGGGGAGGCTGTTAGAATGCAAATGAATGAAGCCAGTTGTATCCTGTACCTTAAGGGCAGAAGGAGACTACTAGTCATATTTACATGCCATTAGAGACTGCTGAGAAGACAATGTGTAGCCCTCCCTTTTGATGTTTAACCAGAAAGTAGAATTTTAATCTCAAGCAGGTTTATATCAAAGAATCTTTGTAATATTTTAGAATCTAACAAATAAACATGCTTGCATTATAACTAAAACCTCTCATGAATTATCATTGTACAAAGTCACTAAACCAAATCATTCTTGGACTTATGCTGTCTAAATAGAATAAATTTCTTTATCCAGTAATGTAAAGTATTTGTAATTGGTATACATTACAAATGTACCTTGTTCCTCTATTTCTTGCATTGGCTTTCCTCACTGGTATATTGTACAGTAAGTCATAACATAAATATCCTGCAAGTTTGTTTCTTATGGTAAAACTTCCTCTGCCTCCCCATGTCTTAGAACTTTCAAGGTCTCAGGCTGTTTGGCTTTATGCTTATAGACATTAGAGAATATTATATTCTACTTTCATATGACCAATCATGGAGTGTTATATCCAGTAAAGCCTATACAAATCATGTCCCAGACTTACAGAACTGAGGTAAGGAAACTAACATGAAGATGCAATGATATCTGGATGTCTTCCTTGGAAAGAACTCATTAAGAAATATTTAAACAAAGGTATATATATATAAAGCTCATTGTTTAATGTTCTATTCCAAGAGAATTCTGGGACTTTTCTAATATACCACAATTACCAGGCCAGTGTTGTTGGGGAAAAAGGGGTCCACGTACAGGAAAAACTGTTTGCATTAGCAAACCATAGTATTAACTATGTAATTATAGGTTTTGTGCATATTTTGAGAACAATTTCAGTATATAACTAAACATTATTAATTCTAGAGTGTAAAAGGGGATATTAATATGGGTTTAAAATAACGAATGCCTTAGAAATCTAGGAACAAGATGGATTTTAATGAAATTTATAAGTGTTGTCCCCCATACCCAACTACAAAACATAAAATTGCTATATGAAATATCATCTGTCCCCCAAATACACTGTTAAAAATGTTCCCAAGGCTATTAAAAAAATAAATAGAAGCCCTGGGTACCAGAAATAATCAATTGCAAGCCAGAGCAGAAAGTGTCTAGCCCCTTAGAAAGACCATTCATTACCACAGTAGCATTGATCAGGATAGTATCTTACTTTCTTCACCTCAAAGATGCCAAAACTTATTCAGCAAAATGTAAACACTTATGCATAGGCATAACAGTACTGTCAACTTGAAAGTTAAGAACTTGTGATATACAAAGTGTAAACTAAAAAAAAAATATATTTTTTTATCAAAATCCTGGAATCAGGGCATGAAGCAGATTCTCCAACAAATGGACGTGATGAAGATAATCAAGTTTCTGTTTGTGAAATGCATGAGTTTCTATGATTTATCTTTAAGCAATAACCCAGGCTTTTTCTGATATTCTAGTCATTTTCCTCCAAAGAGCCCTCAACTACATTTTTTTATTGTTTTTAAACAATGGGTAGTAAAAATCTAGGGAAACAATGTACAAATGATTTTAAGGATTTTGCATCTATTGCCTCTTTGAGGCCATCAGCCATGAGGCAGGTTTCCCAGTACTCCCATGTTGTATTAATGAGGACACCATTAATATGTACAGTATGGTTTCCTGCAGCTTTCAGATGACAGATGAGCACCAGATGAAATTTAGAAAACTTTAAAACACTCATATCTTACAGTATAAGACATAAAATTACTAGTCTTAGGACTAGCAAATTCACATCTGTCTGAAAGCAGAGATTTCCTGAGATGAAAAAGTAACCCTACTTTAATTTTGCTATGCACTTACTGAATTCATGCAATCTAAATGTATATCATGCACTGAACCATGTTGAGGTAATAAATCCACAGTCAAGCTCTGGGGCATGCCTATGAATTTATTAACGTTTAGGGAAATTAAGAGTGGGCAAAAGAAGACTGAGCAGCAGCAGCCAATAGAGGAAAATCGGGCAAGTGTAATATCTTACAAGCCAACTGAAGAGTTTCAAGGTTGAATGCTGTTTATGATTAGACTTCACAAATCTTCAGTGACTTAATATAGGCATCACCTATCAGATCAGGTAAGCATGTGTCCAAAATTGACACTAATCCTGGAAAGGCCATACATTGTATAATATCAACTTTTGTTCTGACACAGAAGTTTTAACCTGAAAATTAAAATTTAGGCCCAACTTCTAGCCTACAGTTATTTCAGATGCCTAGATTAAATCAGTGGTAGCACAAATATTCAAAAAAGGCCTGGGTCTTCCCAGTTAGACTCTTGATTGAATCCCAAGGGTGAACGGACTAATAAAAAAACTTATGTTGACAAACGGGAGAACCTCAATGTGGATACGATGTAAGTATTTCAAATAGGGTAATGGTATCAAGCTTATTTGTGTAGAAGTACATATTTTTATGAGATGCATTTTTAATAACTTTTACACGTTGGTAGACTATTCTTTCAACTTTTCTGTGTTTGAGCTTTTTCCTAATAAAAAAAGTTGGTGAAAGCGGGGAGAGGCAGTAAATAGGAGGATGTTTAGAAAAATTTTGAGTTTAGCTTAGTAACAGTAAAATAGAGTAATAGCTGGATGAGGAATATAGGATCAAAAGGTTTTTAATAACATTTTCTTTATTTGGGAATGATCTACAAGAGAGAAAACGGATGCAGGAGAGAAGATAGCTGGAACTGTGTCTTTGAATGAGATGTGAGTTTGTATGTGATGAGACTTTGTATGTAATTCTTACATAGTACTAATGCATCACAGAGTAGACAGGGACAAAATTCGGCTTTAGCAGAATATTCACTTATTAATACTAGAGCAGAGAAGTGGAACAACCCAAATGAGGTAGAGACAACTGTTTCCAACTCTAGCTGCTTGGATCATATCTGCAAAATGTATTTTACCGATTCCAGTGGTCTTCTTTTCCTAGGTCTTCTAATGCAGTTTATAGGGGTGGAGCCTTACGATCTTTTTTTTTTAAAAAAGAAAGCTCTTCAGGTAGTATTGTAAATGCAATCACTGTCTGTTTAGAAATCATGTTCATTAGTCATGTCAAAGTCTTGATATTTTAAACCTCCGATATTTTTTTCAAATGCCTATTTTTCCTCAACAATACAAAGAATTCTACCTTATTTGTACCCTTGCTAATCAGATTCACTCAACACATATTATTATTATCGTAAGGCAAGTACGGCTCTATATCATAACTGCCTTTTACTAAAATAATGACATAGTACACTGAATTATGTGACTACTTATTATGAGGAATTTCGGGTCTCTTTGGGAATTAAGAATCCCTAGGTAGCTAATACAGTTCTTTTCACTGAGATAAATTGGCTACTGAGTCCACATAATTTTAACTAAATCCAAGAATCCTGTACATTAACTTTCTTGAATTCTCTTAGACTACTACTTATTTTAAATGTAAAATAGAACTTTTTGGTAAGATAATAATGCAGAAATTTAGCTGTGAAGGAAAGTTTAATGAAGTTATATCTAAAATTGAAACTCTTATGACTTTTCAGATTGCTAGCATTTTTTCCCGTTCAGCTGATTTTGCCTTCCAAACATAAAAATTTGTTAACAGCTGGGTTATATCAGTGAAAATTCACAAATGCTTATTTAACAAAAGAATATCCAGTTTTGTCCTAAGGTTAACAAGGGTTAAAGCATGTTTACATTCACTGTATTCCCATGCCTCCATATTTTAACTTACTGTTTCCACTCTCCTAAAAAATGTTACCCATTAAACTGGTACTTCTTGGCTGGGACTTAGCAATGAGACATATGGTCGTCACAACTTGAGGAGGAGGGTAACTGGCCAGGGATGTTGTTTGTTAAACTCCCTGCAGAACACAGGTACAATCTGGCCAAAATTGTCAGTAATGCTGAGATTGAGAATCGTAGTACTAAGCCAATACCTTTTAAGATTCTCGAAGAATTGGTGAAATACAATTGCTAAAATTAAAAAGAAAAAAACTTTTCCCTTGTTCTACTAACTGAATCACTTATAAAGGTTTATGTTCCAGTATATTTAGGATTTGGGTAATCAGCGGAAATATGCTGTTAGTTTTCAACAGACAAATTCACTGAAGCTCACTTATTGAAAGAAAGCTGGGTCTAGAAGCCACTCAGGGAAAGTGAGTTAAATTTGCTGAGTCATGCTTTCTTGCACATCAAATATCACGTCCTTAAAAAAAAAATTGGATTCTATTGATGCCTTTTAGGTAAAAATTCTAGAGCTCTTAGAACTATCTATGAGGTAATATATTATTATGCAGAAAATGTTACAAGTTACAGAAGTAATTTAGAATCAGAACGCAACTTTTTGAAATAGCACTCAAATTTTAAATCTTACCAGAAAAATTTACTTAATTGAGTCCTAGAAAATGCTTACATTTAAAACACTGGCTTTATTCAAATACTACCCATTTGTACATTTAAAAAACAAGCAGGATAGAAGTAAATGTTTTATTTTTCCAACTAAATTCCAGTACTACAAGGGCAGTAAAACAATGGTACACTGGGGAAAAAAATGCAGCAATAAACATTTGTTAAAAAGACTGATAGAATAAATAAAACTACCAAAAAAAAAAAGGAAAGAAAAATCATATAAACCCATTCTGAAACCCCAAGAAGTCCTGGAATACAGAAATGCCCTCCTCCTTCACTATTTGACAGGAAGTACTGTAGGCTATTTGCTCAATATTGTCCTGGGATTACATTCTAAATTATTAATAACTGGTTACAGTTTGGTTGTAGTGCACAATTAAAATCACACTAACTTCATCTGAAGTGTCATTCTACAGTTTTATTTACACAACCAATGAAGGGCATGTTCTAGAATACCAGCTTTAATCCTTTTCAAACATATTAATATGAGAAGCCAAATTGTAATGATACAGCAAAGTGAGGCCACTGGTATTAATACAGGTAGCAAAGGTCCACATCCAGGTGGTACTGACATCAGGGAAATTTCCAAAACCAGTTGCTGCTGCCTAAGAGTGGTTGCCACTGACGAAAGCTTGACATAACCTGCATTCACAGGGAATATTGGCATTGTTGCATGTTGAAATTGGGACCTCCTGCAACAACTCAACAAGAAATAAGGCAGCCCACAATTGCAGAAAACTTGATTCATGAAACATCTAGAAAGAGGAGAAAAGGAAAATTAGTGCAAAGAACAGGTCAAAATTTAAATATTTTCATAGCAAAATTAAAATACATTAGATATTCGTTCCAGATACTGCCCCTAGATAATTAAGTAAGCCTTACAAAAGTTGTGTGCTTATTCCTTCCAGGCTTTTTCTCCATCATTTTCTGTTAAAAGTGTATTCTTGAATACGAAAATAATTTTCTTTTTAATAGATGTTTTTGTTTTCGATTTATAATTCAAAGGCAAGTACTTACAACTAGCAGGCTGTTCTCCATATCGTCGCATTATCTGATCATGTGTAAACTTCACAAATGCATCATATTGTTCTATAAATAAAGGGACATGTCCATCACATGACTTGCAAAATGGCCTAATAAAATCAGATAACTACAAGTAGAAAATATCTGAAACAATTCAAAGTTGACACATAATAAACTCAGTAGTAATAGTGTATCAGACAGCATTAAGCTTAGGATATAACCAAAGTTTTATTTTAAGTTGTCTATGAACAGCAATTTATTACAGTGAGAGGAAATGTCAACAAAGTAACAAAAAAAAAACAACATGTTTTCTAATCAGATATCAAGAAAAAAATTATTATGAGCAAATTAATAGCTATAATAAAATCTGGAGCTTAAAATTAGAAACATGATCAAATTACCATACATTAAAAATATTTACATTGATAACAAAGTTATTGGGGGGCTGGGGATGTGGCTCAAGCAGTAGCGCCCTCGCCTAGCATGTGTGCGGCCTGGGTTCGATCCTCAGCACCACATACAAAGATGTTGTATCTGCCAAGAACTAAAAAATAAATATTAAAATTCTCTCTCCCTCCCTCTCTGTCTTTAAAAAAAAAAAAAAAAAGTTATTGGGGCTGGGGATGAGGCTCAAGCGGTAGCGCGCTCACCTGGCATGCGCGGGGCACTGGGTTCGATCCTTAGCACCACATAAAAATAAAAATGTTGTGTCCACCGGAAACTAAAAAAATAAATATTAAAAAATTCTCTCTCTTTAAAACAAAAATAACAAAGTTATTGTGAAAGACATAAATCCAAAAATCCACAACTAAACTGAAATAGTAATAGCACAGGATTCGTATGTGAAAAGAAAAATATAAAATCACTAATACTGTTGCTAATCTACAAAACTCTTTCCTGAGGTCACTAAGGTGGTACATAGCTAGAAGGCAGTTGATGTCCTTTATTAAAATGAAATTCCTTGTTCCCAGAAAACATGTGTACCAGTGTACAGAACAGTGTAATTTAACTGATACAATGTACACATGGGAAATAATGCACTGCTTACAATGAGCTTCTGAGACACTCTAAAAACTCGTATTACCTGCAAGTTTTGTGTTCAATATTTCTTCATACTCTTCTCGAACTTTCTCTTCGCGTTCTTTCAACAAGCGTTCGCAGATCATCCCAACCTGCCGTAGAGTAAATAAGGGCTGTTCTTTTTTTAATGGTGAGGATGTTGCAGATGAAGTCCCTATATACAATGTGAACAAAAAATACCTGATGATTTAGGGCCATGATAGTACGCATCTTCTATCTAAAGAGATTTCATCTAGATATTTTTTTGATAGTGATATTAAATCCTATTTTAAAATCAGTTTTTAGCATAGGATTTCCCAAGCAGTCTAACAACAGGTTTAAAAGCAATAATAATTCTATCAGCTTGAGACTCTACAAACAGCATGAGGTAATAAAATATAAGGAGAAAATTCTCAGATGAGTGGACAAAGCTTTAAAACATTCCAGTGACGGGTGAGTCCCATTATAAAACTTAACTCCTTTCTAGCACATATCCTACCATAAAGGGTTTTAGTGAACAGATTACAAACTTTCCAAAAAGAAATAATGACCAACTTAATTTTATATTAAGAGTTAACAAATAATTACATACTTAAAAAGACATTCAGTAAGTGTCTTACAAGAAACCGGGGATTATTATTCCACCATTTTTATACAAGTACTACCCTCATTTTCCAAACTCTTCTAATTTAGAGGGGTTTTTCCATCATTTAAAAAAAAGATTATTTTATTGGCACAATAAATCCTTTATAATTTTTTTAAAAGTACAGCATGATCCCCTTTATAGAAATTTACTCTAGAGAACATTCTGGAATCTAGATATGGCATTATCAGAGAGTGAAATACTTCATATAAAGAATTTCTTCAGAAATGCATTCCTCTTCAAGAATCACTTAAGGCACTTTGATCTTTCAAAAACATCACTCCCAGATTAAAAGTATTGACATTTATCTTTTTGAGAACTCAGGTTTATGATGGCCATCTGTTACATCATTGCAAGTACTTTATAAACACACAAGCACACACACATCTGCTGTCAACTGTTTTCATCTTGCTTTGTGTGCCCCAGTGCCTCCTATTCCTCTCAATTCTCTTGCTCCTTACAACCTGCATGGCTAGGACCAGTTAACTGTATTTATTACACCCATATCTATTTACCAGAGTAAAGTATACCAACTTTAGTTCATAATTACTATCTTACTTTCAAATTCCCCCTTTGTGAAGGCTGCCTGTTAACTGATCATCTAAGAAGTAAACTGACAATGAAATGATAATGATCTTGGTCTCTTGTTGATACAGTCTAGGTCCCACCCTCACCTCCTCTTACCCTGGGGATTCACCCACTCACATCTGGTCCCCAATAAAGTTTATCTGCAAATAAATAAGTCCCTCTAACAAGATATGTTAAGAATTCACCTTCAGGAATCCATCCCAATAAAACAAATGTATGACAATTATGTATACAGGGTTATTTCTTTAAATTCTGTTAACTCAACTTCATAATCTAATTGACAGTTAAGTAATCAAGGAAAACCATAAAAGGGCAGAGCATCCGCCATGCAAGTTACCTAATAAAGCATAGGCTATACTGTTAAATTTTCTTTAAAATGGAGGTTAGGTGATTGTCTTTGGTTAGTGGGAATCTAGGTTGTGATTACTTATTTTGTACCATATTTTTAAGATATTATTCATTACACACATGCGTATAAACACATTATTAATCTTGGGGGAGAAAGGAGCTTGATTTTGAATTAAACTTTCCCCATAGTGAATAATATTTCTTTTCATGTATTAAAGTTTACTGTTACCTGGTGAAGCTGGTCCACTGAGGAGAAATGCATGTGGCTGTGCATCAGAACTACAACCTGGATCTGTCTGTTGGAAACTAGTTTCTAAATGTCTTCTCTTCTGCATGCGTTTATACTCTTGTTTTATGTTGTACAGAATTTGTTCTAAAAGAAAGAGAGTTAAAATTTGGCAAGATAAAAACTTTGAAGTTAAAGAAAGGTCAGCTTTCTAACAATTATTTAGTAGGTCCAATCTATCCAAATATTCCATTCAGATATTACAGAAGACTGATATTTTTGGAGGTATTCGTTTTAGTACATGTTGAGACACTTGCTCAAAAACAGCATATACACATCACCTGGAATTCAGCTATTCAACAGAAATACTTCTTTGAACACTGACTAGCAAAAAAAATAAGTTTCTGTTCCAAATAATGGTCAGGGAGTACAAAAACATTCTTAAGAGTCCCAAACTCAAGCTCATTTATTCACCACATTTAGCACTATTAAATGAAGATATACTGCCAAGCCCATAAATAATTAAAAGAGGGAGGATTCTGTATACGCAACATACACTGGTAAGAAGTAACAGTAGGTGGATACTAAAATATCATCATACATAAAATAGTTATGGCCATTAATATTAAGCTGGGAAGAACCTACGAATATTCCAGCATTAACAGTAAAACACTCTGAATCTCTGGGGAAAAACATTTATAGAGTATAACAGGCTCTCCTAATAAATAAGTACTACTATACCACAATGCAGTTATATTTAATCACAGCCATTAAAATAGGTAAAATTTATCCTGTGTGTCTTTAAGTCAGTATGATTTATTTCAGAAAGAGTTGTAATTCAAAATAGTTACCATTTGGCCTCTCCAAAAAGTTCCTAAGGTTTCCACTACCCCCACTGCTCCCAAATTAATAAATTATCTATGCTTACTAATCCTAATCCAAAACAAGATTAAGCAAAAATGAAATTGCAACAACTTAATAAAAAGTTCATAGTACAGTATAACTTTTAACATTTGATTGTACAGTGAAGCTTTAAAACATGAAAACTTCCCTAAAGCATTATTTTAACTGGGGAAAAAAAGCTGCAAAAGATAATTTAACTTTGTAAACAAAATGTTTGTACATGAATTTGTGGTTTAAATACAAAAGCACACATTGGAATGATTTAGCTTCAGTTTGGTTGTGTTGGCTTTAGTATTTAACATTTTTTTAAGGTGTTCACATTTTGTTTAATATGGGTTATGTTACTTTCAGTCTTTCATTTAGGTGAAATAGTTCATAATTTTAAAATGAAGTTAACCAGTGTGAATTAAAATTACTCTCTATTGAATGACAAGTTAACCCAGATATAAATGGGTTTCCTAATATTCATCAGAGGTGTCAATAAAACTAATACAACATACTTTATTAATCAGGGCAAGCATAAATACTTTTTTAAACAACAGAACTCCTTTCAGTAATAATATTCTAAAAGGTTTTAAAGGTGATATTTTGATCTCTGATAATGACAAGCAGCAAGTTTCACTCACTTATCACTTTCTGTTCAAAGCTAGTACTAACATCCTGATCAAATGTATCATTCAGTGCATCTTAAATTTTATTCCCAAACTTAAGGAGCTACTAGCTCAGAATAACTTGACTTTAACATCTACCTTTTGTGTGACACATACATGTGTATATATTCACTGATTATTACATAGCCATTCTCAGATTACTTCAGTCTTCCTTTGCTGCTGGCTTCACACCCAAATCAATGAAAGCACAACTAAAATACACGGAAAGAATGTCTGCAACAAACCCAGGATTACGATACAGTAAATTTTTTTGAAATTTAGCTTTGTAAACCTCCACATCACCTGATACTTAACTGACATCACTAACAGGAATTTTAAGGTATAATTTACAAATGACAGAATTCACCAATTTAAATATATGATTGAGTTCAGACAAAGTACATACAGTCTTGGAACCATCACAACCTTCATCACTCCAAAAGTTTTCTCAGGCTCCTCCTTTGCAGTTAATCTCACCCCCTCCCCCACCCACACACACACACAACCACCATTTGCCAACACTCAACTTGTTATTACAGCTGGCCCTCTGTATCTGTAGATTTAAACAACCAGAGAGCAAAGTATTTTTAAAAAATAACATCTGTACAGGTAGTACATTTTTCTTGTCATTATTCTCTAAAAAAACATAACCTAACAACTATTTACACAGATTTTATATTGTATTAAGTTCATATGTTTGAGATTCATTTATGTTGAATGAATCAGTAATTTCTTTTTATTTTGTGGTGTATACATGTATGTACTAATTTATTCCATTAAAGGACATTTGGATTCTTTTCAATTTAGGGCTATTATGAATATTCACGTACCAGTCTTAGGGTGAACATATTTTAATTTTTCTTAGGTAAATACCTAGGAATGGGATTGACTTCATAAGCAAATGGTTTTAGTTTGTAAGAAACTACCAAAATGTTTTCCAGAGTGATTTTACCACTTTGCATTCCTACCACCTTAACTGTATTAAGAGTTCCAGCTGCTCTACATCCTTGCCAACACTTGATACTGTCAGTTAAAGAGCTGAAGAACTTTGAATGCTATTGCCTGCCTGTACTGCTTTTCACATCTAATATGATGCAACTATGTCACCTAAGCCACACTGTGCCCTCAAATGTTCTAATACTGGTAACGTGATCTACAGTGTTATGCAGAAAAATTGTCCGTTTTAACTTGGCCAAGATCTCGGTAGCACAAGTCACAAACAGCTAACTACAAGCCTCAAGCTCACAGTTCAAGGGTTTAAACTGTTTTAAAGATGATTAACTCAAGAAATGTTCCCAGATTCAATATTTTACAACTCATATTGATAGGCCAAACCTAGATATTTGACATAAGGTGCTACTAGACCAGCTTGATGAATGCCTTCCATACTTGTCTACTTAAGCTATTTAGATCCATCACTCCAAAAGTTCTCTCAAGCCTTGTCTTATCAAACTAGCAAGTTTATGCACATTTACATACTCTTAAGTATTATATTCTAAGAATATGCAACATTTGACACTGTGTTGCCAACACACAGTCCATTTAAAAAATGTCAAAGCTTCATTTGCATTATCAGCTGCTAAAATCTCAAAAACCTTACTCTTTTATCATAAACTATTAAGTAAAATAGCCGCAAATTCTGACTTTAAGATTTTCATCCGCCAATCTAGTAAATGCTGCTAAAATTGCTAATAAAAGTCCCCTCCTTAATAGGTAAGTCATAACAATGAGTCAGCACTTATTCCTTTGCTATATATTTTTTTAATTTAGGTGAATGGAGGTGGGGCCCTCAGGTGGGCACAGTGACACAAATCTATAGTCTCGGCAGCTGAGGCAGGAGTTCAAAAGCCAGCCTCAGCAACAGCAAGGCACCAATCAACTCAGTGAGACCTGTGACTAAATATAAAGTACAAAACAGGGCTGGGGATGTGGCTCAGTGGTTGCGTGCCTCTGAGTTCAACCCCTGGTACACTCTCACCCCCCAAAAGCCTCTTTTTAGTTTCCACTGATGCCTTAAAATCCCTGGATATAATGAATAAGATTTGACAATCAAACATGAGAAAGTAGTTATGGGATTAAAAAAAAATTGAACAGCTGAATTGATGAGAATAAGAAAAACAGTATCAAGATGGGACTGTGTTCAAGGCAAGGAGCTTGGACAGAGAACCAACTAAAAATATGTTTAAAGGAGTACCACAAATTGGGGAAGAGAGAAGTGACAAATACCTTTCTAGGATCCATGAATTTAAAAAAAAAAAAGTATGTGAAATTCAATTGTGCTCCATCCAGACCCATAAAGCTTTAATTTCCCACTGAAATTACTAGCTCAAACATTAATGTTTCATGAACAGTTTTAAGTTTATATGTATGAGATAACCTTTTATATCACTTTGATTGGCATTTATTTCTCTTAGGAAGTATCTTTGGGGTAAAAATGGGTATCTAGGCCCCTCCTCAAAAACAAAACATTAAAAAAAAAAACCCTAAAAAAAAAGTCCTGAAAGTTTGTCATTTCTAAATAGGGATACAAATGATAAGAAAAATCTGTACAATTAAGTTCAGAAAATCTACAGTAGCCATTAAGACCAAAAACTAAGAAATTGTTTCAAATACAGTAATAGAACAAATCTGTAGTTTTGAAATGCATCTTATACATTGTCATGTCCACTTTGTAAATTAAAACATATACAAATGGAGGTTACTATGGAGATACACCTTCAAAACCAGCTATCTTCCCAGGAACATCTGTTTAGAAACTAAAGTAATTCTTATATTCTTGGATCTGGAACCAAATTCTAACATCACATAGTCAATGTACAGCTAAAATTTTAACCGCTATCTAGATTAGCATGAATCTTGAACTACTTACAGGTATCTTCTCAAATAGCTTACAAGCTAAGAAATTTTAAGTCTGTGAACAGGGAAAAGAAAGGAAACTGAACCATCCAAAATTCAAAACCCAAAGTGTGCATGGTTCCATTTGGTTCAGAAGCAAGAGGTCCAGCTCCTACCCTACTACCCCCACCTGAGGCATGAAGGCAAAGTAACTTAGATTTATCTATAGGATTCTGACAAGTCCAATCACTTATGTCAAATAAATTATCACTGGCTATTTAGTATCAATGAAATAATATACCGTGACCTTGTAGTGATTATAATTTTTCTTCCTACTGTAAGAAAATGAACACCTTGTAAAGTAAAATATATAATGTAAATTTAGAACCTCAGCCAGTCTGCAAAGACTGAGAGAACAAATTCTTTGAGACTCTAGAGCAGCACAATCAAGCTGAAGTACAAACCCATTTCCTATCATGACTTGCTAGGGCACTACCCAGCCTGCCCCAACACCCACCAAAATTGAGTATACCTGGAAACCAGAATTTATAAATGGGTGACTTGCAGACCAAATCAAGCCCTGTTTAACTTGAATACTTAAAAAAAAAAAAAAAAAGGTGTGAATTTATGGCCATACTGGGCAATCTTCTTAAAACGTAGATTCTGATGGGCAGAGCTGCTGGTCCATAGCAAGACTGGAATTTGCTAATACCCACCTAGTTTCCATCACTGATTTATATTACTTGTCTGGAACTATGT